AAATTAATAAACTCACAAATGAAAAGGGAAACAATACATAAATATATCAGGAAACCATAAGGAAATACTTTAAAAATCTGTACATTAAACTGGAAAATCTACAAATCCAAAAGAAATGGATAAATTTCTAAATATGTATGGACGATCAAAATTTAATCAAGATGATGTAACTGATTTAAACTCACCTAAAACAACCAAGGAGATAGATGCAGTAATTAAAACTGTCCAAACCAAAAAGATCCTAGGACTAGATAGATGCAGTGCAGAATTTTACTAAACTTTTGAAGAAGAACTAATACAAATATACTTAAGATATTCTGTAAATTAGAAAAGCAACAATCACAAATTCTTTCTATGAAATATACTTTGATGCTAAAATCAGACAAAGACCAGTAAAAAAGAAAATTATAGGCTAATCTCTCATAAACATAAATGCAACGATCCTTAATAAAATACTTACTAACCAAATGTAAGACCACATCAAACAAATTAGCCATCATGATCAAGTCAGTTTCATCCAAAGATACAGGGATGGTTCAACATATGTAATTCAATAAATGTAATTCACCACAAAAACAGACTCAAGGACAGAAATCAAATGATCATCTCATTAGATTCATAAAAAGCTTTTGACCAAATCCAATATTCATTCATAATAAAAGTCATAGAGAATCTAGAGGTAGAGGGAACATATCTCAACATCATAAAAGCAATAAACAATAAACCCACAGCCAACGTCATGCCAAATGAAGAAAACTAAAAGTATTTCCATTAAAATCAGGAAGAAAACAAAAGGTCTACTCCCTCCATTCCTGTTAGTACTTGAAATCCTAGGCAGAGCAAGAAGAAAAATGAAGGAGGTAGATGGAATACAAATTGAAATGAAGTCAAAATATTCCTGAAATAGCAGATGATATGATTCTATATATAAAAGATGCTAAAGACTCCACCAAAAAACTTCTAGAGCTGATAAATACACTCAGGAAAGTAAGAGGATATTAAATTAACACCCCCAAATCAGAAGCCTTCCTATATACCAACAGCAAACATACCAAAAAAGAAATCAGGGAAACAATAGTCTCATAAACCATAAACTATCTTAAAATAAATCTAAAAAATAAACTGAAAGACTTGTATAATAAAAACATTGAGATATTAAGGGAAAGAAAGAGACTGGAAGAGGGGGATAGTAGGGAATAGTTATTACCAGGAGAAGGTGTGGAAAGTGGGAGTGTTCAGCTGGGAGGGGAAGAGGGTGGGACATTCAGGGTTGAGAGGAAGAAGAGGGGGATGATGGGACACAGGTATTATGGGGGAAGGATGGAGATAATGAGGGTTCTTGAACTGCAGATGGAGGAGGGAGGTTGAGCAGTGGGAGAAAGTGGAGAAATGAATGGAGTTTGGGTGGCATGGGAAGTCAGAGGGAAATGTGCTGGCTCTGGAACCCCCTGAGAAATATGCATATTTTATCTGAACATTAATGCATGAGTATACCTGGGGGCTGTATGGCAAGGAGCACAGTGTCAGGCAGGAGAGACCTCCCTTCAAATGGTTGGTTAGAGTAGCCCAAGACACTCCCAAAATAACACAGGCTATTGACTAATCCCTTGGTAATCTCCCAGAACTCGAAAGTAAGTTTCTACTTGTTGAAGATAGTGGAAGCTGTATACCTAAGGTTCATGGACCATAGTGGAACAGGGGGTAAAGAAATACTAGTACATTCCCTCAACTCTCACCAGTGAAGTTTCCTTAGTTTCCTTATGCAACAGAGTACAATCCACACAGAAAGTCACAACTGACTAAGTTTTAAAGAATGAGAGATTGTAGAGTGGATAGACTGCTATATTGAACTTCACCCACCCATATCTCAGGGACCATTGTGGAAGAGGGGACCTAAATATTTTAAGAGTCAGGATTAGTCCATGAACATAGAGAAACAGGGGCTTTCAAGCCACAAGAAGCTTGCTCATGTGAACCTGCAGCAATGGTGGCATCCAGCACCAGACCCATGTCACCTCAATCAGACAAGGGCCCAGAGTGGAATGAAGGAAATGGTTGGCTGACTGGTCATAGCCTGGTAACTGTTGGAGACTGATTACTGCTGGGTGAGGGAAAGTAGACCTTCCTTAAGATCTATAGATAGTCTGACTAGACTCCAGTGAATGAACTTGCACTGAAAGACATCTGAGTACAATATTTGACTGAAGAGGACTAACATGTATGGTGGAATGTGTGAGGCCCTGTGGGTGGGGGAGGACATGGATGGGGAGGCAGTCTAAATTTGATTAAGAGTTTTTGTATGAAATGTACAAAAGCTTAATAAAATATTTTTTGAAAAACATTGAAACATTGAAGAATGAAAATAAAAAAGACACCAAAAGATGGAAACACCTCCCACGCTCCCACGCTCCCACACTCCCATGCTGTCATGCTTCCATGGATCAGTAGGATTAATAGTGTGAAAATGGCAATTCTATCAAAAGTATTCTACAAATTCAAATCAATGCCCATTAAGATTTCAACATAATTATTCACAGAAATTAAGAAAATAGCCTCAAATTTCATGTGAACACAAAAAAAAATGCAGCATAGCAAAAATAATCCTGATCAATAAATGCACTTCTGTAGGAATTATCATCCCTGATCTCAAATCTCAAGTTTATACTTCAGAGCTATAGTAATAAAAACCACATGGCAGAGGCAAAAAATCAGTCACACTAATCAGTGAAATAGCAATGAGGAACAGGATTTAAATCCATACATCTACATCCATCTTATTTTTGACAAATGGGGGAAAAAACACTGGAGAAAAGACACCATGTTCAACAAATAGCGCTGGTCTAAGTGTTTAACCACATGGAGAATGAAGTTAGATACCTATCTCTCACCATGCACAAAGCTCAACTCCAAATGTATCAAAGACCCTAACATAAGACCTGATATGCTGACTCTGATAGAGGACAATGAAACTCACAGGCACAAGGAAAGAATTTCTCAACAGGATTTCTGTAGTACAGTCATTAAGGCCAACAATAGACAAATGGCACTGAGTGAAACAGAAAAGATTTTGTATAGCAAAGGAAATCATCATTCAAGTTCTGAGGCAACATACAGAAAGGGGAAAATTTTGGGCAGCTATGCCTCTGACAGAATCGTGTGTGTGTGTGTGTGTGTGTGTGTGTGTGTGTGTGTCTGTGTGTCTGTGTGTCTGTGTCTGTGTGTGTTCACAATTTTCATCTCAGATTGTGAGAAAAATTTATCATTCAATTCTTTCTTGAAGGTTTACTACCACCCTTTTTTAATACTTTTATTGAATTTTTTTGCATTCCATATAACAGATCTAAATCAAATTTTAACACCTCCCACCCCATCCATGCCCCCTACACCTCCCCTACTGAATATCAAGCATTCTGTTATATATGTTAAGTCCTATCCAACTAAGCATTTGTACCCAGATGACCCTCAGTGCAACTTCATCCACTGGAGTCTAGTCAGCCTATCCAGAGTCCCTCCCTTAAAGAAGATCTGTTCTCACCCATCAGTAATCAGTTGCCAATAGTTCTTCAGCTAGGGTTGGGGCCTGCTGCCCATTTCCCTTTTTCTATACTGATTTTTTTGTCTCATTGGGTCTGCATAAATCTGTGTATTCTTTCACCACCATTGCAAGTTCATATGAGCAAGTTCCCAGTAGCTTGAAAGCCTCTGTTTCCTTATATCCATGTACCAACACTGCCTCTTACAATCTTTCTGCCCCGACTTTTGCAATGGTCCCTGAGCTCTGGGTGGGTGAGGTTTAACAAAGGTGGTCAGTCCAGGGACACACACTCTGCAGTCTCTCATTCTCTAAAACATAGTCAGTTGTGGCCTTCTGTGTGTATCACACTCTGTTGTATGAGGAAGCTTTGCTGGTGATAGTTGAGGGATGTACTAGTATTCTCTCTACCTACTGTTCTACTATGTTCTGTTGAGGCTTAGGTATAGAGGTTCCACTGTAGAGGTGTCTGTCGCTTAGGGCTGAGCATCTCTCAGACATATATTTTCTGTGTGTGACTAGTTGTTGAACTCTGTAATAGCCTCCATCTGTTGCAAAAAGATGAGTGGTGAATGGTATACTTGTCTACAAATATAAGGACCCATATTTAGCATGAAGTAAGAAATTTCATTTGTGTAGAGATATGACAAAAATAGGGTTTTCTCTAGGATCTATGACCTCTCCAACTATGTGTATTTGGACATATTTACAATGCCACCATGAGTTCCCCACCCCAAATGAGAGGATTTTAAGGTCTAGTTAGATGGCTGGTGATTACCCCCCTGGATAAAAGTGACATTATTGCACCAATAGATAGTTTGCTGTGGTAGTCAACATGGTTATTAGACTTTAGAGCTGGGTTGGACCACTGACTGATTTTCTCCTAGTGGATTGCACAGTATTGTCTAGAACTATGAGAGTTAGTCTTCATGGAGAATACCCTCCCAGAACTTGAATGTAAGACCCATGGCTCAAGGCAAGAAATACTTCTGACACAGAACTTGGAGCAATGGAGATGGAACTGACCTGGAAGCTGTCTATTAAGATGATCATGTGATTATTGGTTTTAAGTCCATTTCTAATGATTTATTACATTTATCAACTTACATAATGTTGAACATCCCTGCATTTCTGGAATAAACCTGACTTGATAATGGTAGATGATCTTTTAGATGTGTTACGGTATGGGTTTGCAAGTACTTTTTTCAGAATCTTTGTGTCTATGTTCATTAAGAATACAGGCCTATAGTTTGCATTGCATTTTTGTTGTATCTTTATCTGATTTGGGTATTAGAGTAATACTTGCTTCATAGAAGGAGTTTGGGTATTCCCTCTGAGTTTCTATCTTTTTGAATAAGTTAAGAAGTATCTTTGACTAAATTCATCGCATATCTTCAAGACTTTTGTCTTGGTTTCTTTCTTGTTGAAGGCCCAAACCTGGTGGGCTTCGGGGGCATTCGACAATTGGCACCCCACATGGGGTATGAACCCACGACCCTGGGATTAAGAGTCCCATGCTCTACCGACTGAGCTAGCCAGGCCTCCCACATGGCAGGTGAGAATTCTACCACTGAACCAGCCATGCGCTATCCATTGCACTCATTGGTTGCCAGAATGCCTGGTGCAGTTTGCTGAATCTCCGATTCTACGCTCCCTGCGACACCACGCTACTCTGACGTCGTCCTCCTGTTCTTCTTCTTCCTCCTGAACGTCTTCCAATGCATGGCGCCCACCGTTATACTTCATTGGCCTTTTACTCTGATTCATCAGTACCCTGCTTGATTGATTGACTGCTCCACATGATCTTCTGCACCATTGTTATGATCATTTTGTGTGTGTTCCACCTTCCCTTATGTTGTCCCTGTGTAATCCTTTGGGTTTCGCTTTCTTTCTACTCCGATTTGGTGTCTTTTTGTATTTTGTGTAGTGGGGGGAATTAGGCCTTAGCCTAAGCCTGCACGTAACTTTAGTACTAGTACTCAAATTTCAGTGGCACTGATACCACTTTCAGTGGCACGGATACCAATTTGCAAATGACATTTGCAAAAGTACGCTTTTCCCATTTCTTCCTCCCGACCATGGCCACTTGACGGAGCTTTGTGGAGGCCAGTTAGCCAGTGATGGGCAAGATCGTCTCAGAGTAAAGCAGGTCCCTGGCCACCCCCAATGGCTTTCACTCTGGTAGAGAACAACCTAAGACAGGCACGGTCTTTCCATCTCAGTCGTGGCATGTTCTTCATCTTTAAAAAAATATAAAAAGAAAGGGGGACATGTCAGGAGCCATGCTTGACATAAGCATTGGAAATAAGAAGAGTCCCACTTTAAGAACTTCTGAGCTCTCTGCTTCAGTGGTCTGAGCTGACAGGCTATGCCTCCATGATTAATTAGGTCTTCTAGAAACTCAGTTTTCGTTCGGTCTTCAGGCACTGGAGTTGGAGAGGTAATGCAGCAACGTGCTGCGTCCTTAGTTACTTTTTGTTAGTAAATATCCTTGGTGATTCCTTGGTGATGTCTGATTCCTATATGAGATCTGTGTTCCTCACAACAAAAAGTCATCCTGTGATCACTCACCTAACTGTAAGAATCTATCTTCGCATAAATTCATCACATAACTTCAAGACTTTTGTCTTGGTTTCTTTCTTGTTGAAGACCCAAGCCTGGTAGGCTTGAGGGGCATTCGACAAAGTACTAGCTGTAGAACTTTGAATTTCTGGTAGAATTCTGCCGTAAATCCATCTGGGTCTGGGCTTTTATTAGTTGGGAGATTTTGTATTGCTATTTCAATTTTCTTATTTGTTATGGGTCTGTTTAAGTTGTTGATCTTCTTCATTTAACTTTCTATGAATTTAGAAATTCATCCATTTCTTGTAAATTTTCAAATTTAAGAGTATATTTTTTAATTTTTTAATAGCTACATGATTAGAAGAAGCATTTCATTACAGATTTAACATATTCAGTAACATACTCCAGAGCAAGAGTACATCTCTTTCACAAATGGGTGCAAGTTTCTAGGTTCACAGTTAAGTTAATACAGTTATACAATATTTAACTCAGTATAAGCCCTGTAAGACATAAAAT